ACAAAGCAATCGAACAAGTGTTTGGTAATTGGGAAAAGTCATACAATGAACTTCTAAATTACTTGTTGGCCCTTAAGAAGTTTGTTCTAGGCACTGTAGTAGAAATGCAAACACTACCGGTATATACAGATGACGAGACTGTTATTACTGGGAAACAAATCTTCCATCGACTATTTTGGGCTTTCCAACCATGCATATGTGGCTTTGCATATTGCAAGCCTTTACTACAGATTGATGGTACCTGGTTATATGGAAGGTACAAAGGTACACTACTAATGGCTGTAGCACAAGACAGAAACAATAATATTTTCCTAGTTGCCTTTGCCTTAGTGGAAGGTGAGACGGAGAATGGTTGGGGTTTCTTTCTAAAAAACTTGAGAATGCATGTAGCTCCTCAACCTGGCTTGTGTTTGATTTCTGACCGACATGCATCTATCGAAAGCGCTTATAACAATCCTGGAAATGGTTGGAATAACACTACATTTGTCCATGTGTATTGTATCAGGCATATTGCGCAAAATTTTATGAAGGATATCAAGGACTGTATCCTCCAGAAAAAAATAATCAACATGGGTAAGTATCTTTTATGCAAACATTACATGCTTGTTGATAGTATACCATTATATTAACCAATATTTTTTTTAACATGTAGGGTATGCGTTGAACCAACCAACGTTTAAATATTATCGTAATCAAATTGGGATGGCTAATGGTGATGCTTTGAGGTGGATAGACAAAATTCCAATTGAAAAATGGATGAAGGCATTTGACGAGGGTCGTCGTTGGGGGCACATGACAACAAACCTTGTCGAGTCACTAAATTCCGTATTTAAAGGCACTCGTAATCTCCCCATCACAGCGTTAGTAAGTGCAACATACTATAGGATGGGAACACTCTTTGCTGAAAGGGGTGCAAAGTGGAGTGCAGTTTTGAATTCTGGACAAACATTTACAGAGCGGTGCGTGAAGGTGATGAAAGAAGAGACGTCAAAATCTGCCACGCATCAGGTAAGCATATTTGACTATAATAATAACACTTTCAGTGTAAAGGAGACAATTAACCACAATGAGGGGAAGCCATTGGGGCGTTACAAGGTCAACCTAATGGAAGGATGGTGTGACTGCGGAAAGTTTCAAGCATACCGTGTTCCTTGTTCACATGTTATCGCTGCATGTTCCGTGGTGCACCAAGACGCATTTCTTCTATTGTCTGACGTTTACAAGGTGGCGAACTTATTTGGGGTTTACAGCACGAGCTTTCCAGTTCTACCATACGATGAGTATTGGCCCACTTATGAGGGAGATCAAATTTGCCATAACCCAGTTATGCGGAGGAACAAGAAAGGTCGTCCCGTGAGCACCCGTATTACAACAGAAATGGACGCATATGATAAGTTGGAGAGAAAATGCACATTGTGTCGTCTTCTAGGTCACAACCGAACGCGATGCCCCAATGTAGGAACTAGTAATAATTAGTTATTCATTTTGTTATCAATCTGCAAAGTTGTATGTATAATGACGCCGAGTAATTATGTTTCATTTCACTAGTACTTCTGCATTTAATATAAATAACAATTCGAAAAAACAACACATAAATTAAAATACTAAGACGAGTAGTAGAACTTAGCAACAACATTAAACGTAAACAACATCAACATGTTCAAACAAAGACATAAGCATTTCTAGGATATTACAACCAGCAACACAATATCTTTTTGTTGAAGCATCATCATAAGAACACATGCGTCGTTATGAACAAGTCTCCAAGAACGAGTGGATCCATTTAAGCCAGGCACCGTAACTAGCCTCTCTATTTTCCGGATCTTTTCACCTTGGGCAATTTCTTCCCATAACCATCCCTCCAAGTGCCTATGTAGATGCTCAAATGTCTGTGTGTTCAACAATTTGATCTTCATCGGAGGCTTTAGTGGAGAAAAAATCAGTTATGCGTCTCTTTTCATATATGGAAACGTTGGAAACTCTCCGGATGTTGAAGATATTTTTAAGATACAACTAAAGAAAAATAATTTAAGTGTAGCTAGGATCATTCAACATCAACGATATTTATAGTTCACAGCAAAAATTTTAAATTAATAAAATAATAAAACCCCCCGCCCATTACAGTGGCGGAGCCGTACATAAATAATAAAATAACAAAAGCTTCCGCCCATTGCACTGGCGGAACCGTACTTAAATAATAAAATCAATAAAACCCTCTGTCCATTGCAGGGGCGGAGCCGTACTGCAATAATAAAATAACAAGACCCTTCGCCCATTACACTGGCGGAACCGTACTTAAATAATAAAACCCTCCGTCCATTACAGTGGCGGGACCGTTTTTATTTATTACTATGATTAACATTTATTAATTTAAACTTATTTTTAAATATTAATTTTAATATTGATTTTTTATTTAATAGTAATTATAATTTATTTTTAAAATTATATTAAAAAATAATTTATTTGTATATTAATATTTTAATATTTTAATAATTTCATTAAAATGACTTAAATTTGAATATTTCAAAGTCATTTTATACCAATATATTGATTTTTTATTTAATAGTAGTTTTAATTTATTTTTAAAATTATATTAAAAAATAATTTATTTGTATATTAATATTTTAATATTTTAATAATTTCATTAAAATGACTTAAATTTGAATATTTCAAAGTCATTTTATACAAATATATTGATTTTTTATTTAATAGTAATTTTAATTTATTTTTAAAATTATACTAAAAAAAAAAACGTTATTCAAACAGTTCCGCCAATGCAATGGGCGAAAGCTGTATAATTTTAAGACCATCCGCCCATCCATTGGGCGGAGCCTCCTAATATCAATTTTTTTTTTTTGAAAAGGTGGTATAGTGGGAATATTGGTTGAAATGTGTGGTATATTAGAATTTAATTGGTAAAAGGGGTATATGTTGGTAAAAAATTCTTCTAAGATACTCTATATTAATATAGAAATTATTATAAAATATTTATAATAATGTTCTTAATTAATATAAAATATATTATAAAATATTATAATTTTTTACTCAAAAAATTAATGAATTGTGTTTTATATCTTTTAAAGATTCGTTGAATTTCGACCTTTATAAATATTCTTGCTTTTACGACACTTTTAAACACTCTAGATTTATGTGATTTATATACAGAATTTGAGAGATTGAAAAATATTTTATAGAAAATAGATTTTTTTTTAAAAACTTTTGTGACTATTTACTTATAACTCATTTGAAATCTTTTAGAAATAAAGTTAATCAGAGAGTATTCTCACTCCCTTTAAAATCTTTTATAATTTTTGGAAATAAAGTGAATAGGAGAGTTATTATTTCTTATAGTAAATGGTTTGGTTGAATTTGATAAATTATTGTGTTTCTTGTCTTCATTTGTCTTATTGCAAATTTGCTTCACTTTTAACAAATTATTGTATTGCTTTGAAATATAAGCCATTTATTTTGATCTACACTTTTTTTTCCCTTTTTCCCCCTACGTATCAAACTTACTAGTGTATTTAACTCTCAATAATTCTTCTTGAATGCTTTGAATTATTCTATTAATTTTTCACAACAAAACTAATAACCAATAATTTAGGCTAAGAATTAGTCAAGGGTAGTCAACAACATAACCCCTTAGGTTAGTTAGTTGGATCTGTGACTAACTGCATAAACAATGGGACAGTTGGAAGAAAAAAAAAGTTATGTATATTATAGATTTAACTCATGAGCAATTTGCCTAAGGTATATCGAATGTCAATTCTTTTAAAAAGCATGCTCAAACTATACAAGGCTTTGACAAAATTAAGCAAAGTAATTCTACTTGAAATCAATATTTATTTGTGATAGTATAGTGTAGCAATTTTAATAATCAATAGAGAGAAACCTCCTTTCATGAGATGAATATATTGTTTTGAATAATGTGGATGATAAGATTATCCAGATTATGAATATATTGTTTTGAATACTACTTTAAGCACTTAAAGAGTGTCATCAAAGAGTGCTATCAAAACACGCGTTAGCATGACCCATATGATAATCAAGCCTCCAAATCCAGCTCTCCATAGATTCTACGCGGATGCCCAATGTTTTGAGATCTCCAACTCCACTACAAACAAGCTAGAAACACTGCAGTATTAGGTGCAAATATTTCTTCTCTAATCCAACAAAACAAATTGTCCTGATCAAAGAGACTATCTGCAGTAAAACCAAAAGCGGTCCATGATTTTTTGCCATCAAACAGTCTAATATATGCAGTGAATAACAGTCTCTTCTTCTGTGCTGTCAAACATCCAGATGAATAATTTAATCTTCCCTAGAACTGTTAATTTCCAAATCCGCAGCAAAAAACTAGCTTTCATTTGTATATTATCGAAAGAAAACAAAGATTTCAGATTTAAGCTGTTGCAGCAGAACCAATATGTACACTCTATAATTAGCCCTACATACTACTTGAAATTTAAAGGCACAATATAATGACAGACAAAAATTCTATTTCACACAGAAAATCTGTTTTTTCCAAAGCCATTGAGAAACATAGAAATTCAGCAAAAGAGAAAAGCTTTAAGCTTTTTCCCTTATACAAATGATTAAATAATTTCTAATGTGAGAATATTGGCCAACTTCTTTTTTTTTTTTAAAGTTGTTGATTTATAAATATCAGCAATTGCCAATTGAGCTACCCTGCCCACCCCTTTATTTTTGACCCCTCCTTAACAATATTTTTGGGCCCAAACCCATTCTATTACAAATACTGGCCAACTTCACTTAAGTTGCCACAGGGAAAAAATGATTCTGAATATGAGAGAAAAAATGGTTTTCTCTTCCCATGCACATATATATTTCAAATGCTATTCGGTCATGTTTTCTCAGGACATCGATTGACCCAATAAATGTATGCATTGCAGCTAGTCTACTATGCATAACAATGAAAGCATTCACCTTCCGGTAAGACAATTGATCAAAATTGCCATTGGAATTGAATATATCAAACTTCAAACTCCACGGATAGAGATTTCGAGTTGTTGCACTCTCTTAGCCAAATCATGCTTACCAGAATTCTTCAATCCATCAGTAACCATATCAAAGCAACGAGATATAGGTACAAAACCAATCTCAGTCATTTCAAAAAGATAGTTAGCAGCATCGACAAACCTTCCACCACGGCCACACATAGTAATAAGCATGGTATAAAGAGGTCGATTAGGAGGATGACCCTTTGCTTTCATATCAGCGAAAAAGCAAAAAGCATCATCAAATTGACCCCTCTTAAACAAAGCCTTCATAACAGGTGCGTACAAACTAGGAAATGGACGACTACCTTCCTCACTAAAATTATTCAACAGCCTAAAAGCCTCATCCATTAACCCAATTTTTGAAACCGCCGGTACCAAAATCTTGTAAGTATTAACATCAGGAACCATTCCTAATTTACACAGCTCGTGATAAAGCTCAACACAAAACTTAACTTCTTCTTCCCCACATTTACATGTTGATTCCATTAATGCATTGAATGTTCCCACATCAGGGATAATTCCTTCCTTCACCATTTTCCTCACCATTCCTTTCGCGGATTCGATGTAGCCCGCGTTTAACAAGCCTTCAATGAGAAGATCACGGCCTCTGACGGGAGGGGTAAACCCTTTATCACTCATCTCTTTGAGAAACTGTTGAGCTTCACGCATTTTGCCGCTTGAGCACCACGCGTTTACGAGAAGCGCGTATGTTCGTTTATCAGGGTTGATGCCTTTTCTAAGCATGCGGCGGATGAGGGAGTAAGCAGCGTGGAAGAGTTTTGATTCGCAGAGGGCGAAGAGGAGGGAGTTGTGGAGTTGAAGATTCTGAGGACAGTTGAAGATTTTGCATTTGTTGAAAAGCTGAACGGATTGGTCGATATGGCGGTGGCGGCCGTAGGATTCGATTAAGGAGGAGACGGCGGATGGGGAAAGGGAGAGGCGATGGTGGTGAGTCATTTGGTGAATGATTGACCACATGGTTTGGTAATTGTTGGAGTTAGCGAGGATGGTGACGATTTCTTCGAACTCGACGGAGGTTGGGGTGTAGGTAGGGTGGTGGTGGTGCGATTGAGCCCAATTGAAGAAACGGAGGGATTCGATTGGGGAAGAGGAACAGGCGCGGAGGACACGGAAGACGAGTTCCGGTGTGATTGTGATGCGGAGTTTGTTGAGGGTTCGTTCCAAGTAGAAGTCGCGACGGACAATGTTTGCGACGTGTTGGATTGCGGCGAAGTATTCATCTTTGGAGGTGGTGGTTGTGGTGGTGGTGGTTAGGGTTTTGCGGTGGTGGAGAAGCGGTTTTGATTTTGAGACTGTATTTGCAGTGCGGATGAGTTTTGCAAATGTCTGAAGCATTGCATTGCGTTCGCGACGCTACAATTCTTCGATTGTCTACCGTCAGTCTGTCATATGATATGATATAAATAACATGCTTAAATGTCACTCAACATTCTTTTTTATTATTTTTATTAATGGTTATATAAATTAATTATATATGAAAAATTCTAATTATACAAAGGTAAAGTTTTATAAATATAAAATTTAAAATCGTTCATTTGTAAAAGAAATAATATTCATATAAATTTAATTATATTAAATAATTATATAAAAATTAAAAAATATATTTTAAGTTAAATATTTTATTTCTATAAAAAATTGTTAATTTAAATAAAATATATTATTTTGACAGTGATCCATAAAATAAAAATTTACTTATGTATACAAATTTAAAATATAAATGTCAATAATAATTTTAATAAAATTAAGTTATCTAAAAATGTAAAAACATCTACTATAAAAACATGTTCATTTTATAATAAATAGTAAATTATCAACAAAAAGAAAATATTTAAAATTAATTTTAATGAAAAATATATGTTTTATTAGTTATATACAAATTTAAATATATGTGTTAACTTTGAATTTAATAATATAATATTATACACCAAATTAATAAATTTAATAACAATTTTAATGTCAAAATGTAACGTAATTCACTCTAATAATTATTTTATATTAATAATTCTACTATAGATGTTAAAAGTTTTTTCTTCATTAAAGTGTATTAAACTAAATTAAAGTAAATTAGTAACAAATATACCATAGATGACACTATATATATATATATATATATATATATATATATATATATATATATATATATATATATATATATATATATATATATATATATATATATATATATATATATATATATATATATATATATATATATATATATATATATATATATATATATATATATATATATATATATAAAGCGTTCAAGTTAAGAGAAATATAAATAAAATGTTTAAAAATTAAATGAATAAAATTTATTTATTTAGTTAAAGTTAAATCGTAGAAAAAGACAAAAAGATGTATTTTAAATAAAAATTGTTTTATTTCTAAATAAATAATAAATTGAAGATGAAAAATAAATAATTCAAAATAATTTTAATAAAAAAGAAACGTAATATTTATTAATCATATGCTCACTTATAGTCAATTTTAAATTTAATAATTAATTATGTCACACAAATTTAGTAATTTATTACAATTACACCAAATTAGTAAATTTATTATACATTTTTGCCTTCTTCGCCCTTTCACTTGATTTGCGGTGGAAGAGTAAATTTGATGATGTCGAATTCACTATTTTCCCCTGCTTTTCAGGTATATTGGCACATTTGGTCGGGAAGGATGTCTTGCCCGCCCACCACGAAGATGAAATCAACATCGAGGAGGACTCTTTGGCCTGGGTCGCCCTTGAGCCTAGAAATAAAAGGTCATGCTTTTCGCACGACGCACGGACGCGTTCAACTATCCGGAGGTTCGAGCCGAGGGGGACCCTGCCAACTGGATTCTCCAAATTCCTCATCGTAATCGGAGGATCTGCTCGGCATATCCAGGTGTGATACGGAGGCAGAACTGACTGTTATATATTGATTTTTTGCGTTTTGTGTTTGCAAATGTTGCGGTAAGCAAGAGTCGTCACCGACTTTTCTTTTATCCAAATTAAGGAAAGGGTGACAAAAACAGAAAAGACCTTTTCGAGATTATTCTGAGTAAGGGGGTAGATTATGGAAAGGAAAGATGTTAGCACCCTTTCCATCTGTAGTTATCTACGGGCTCTTAGAGGTTTGCTCATTTTTGAAATACCTTTGTGTTTCGTGTGTTTGAAAATATTTAAAAAATGCATTAGTGCGGCGATTTGCTTTGTGTTTAACTCTTGTATCAGTCCTCAAGAGTGTTAACAAAACAATTTTTTTTTAAAATTGTTTTTGAAAAGTAGTATTTGTGTAAGTGCAAAATGTTTTGAGCAAACTTCTAACAACTATCTACTTTTGTACTCGAAAAGGTAGTTCTTTTCCTCCTATCCTTTAGATAGTGCTATCATACTATTAGTGAGTAGGTAGCCCTATCGTTGGATGTATAAGGGACATTTGAAGGTACGTTACAGTCACCAAGGCAACTTGTGGAGATGCTTTAGCAATTTTATTTAGGGACTAGAACATTTATTGAGAGGCAACTGTAGGATCATCGAGGGACTATGATCTTTTGATTTTATGGGTCTTTGCTAAAGCGTCTTCATTTTGAGGGACGTGACTGCGTTATTTCTGAAGGCAACCAAATTGGGGTACCCTAGAAGTGTATATGTGCAATGTGCGTTATATTCAATTATTTTTATCTTTTTGTTAAGTTTGCTAACGTTTTGTTATTAGTCTTATCATACATGCCTAGTTACTAGCAGTAAATATGTACAGAATATAAAGTGTAGAAGGTAAAAAACTAGACTATTACATGGCTTCGGGGAGGGTGATTTACAATGTACAAGAATTGGGGAGAAGAAAAATAAAGAAAACTGATAAAAGTCTATTAACTATTATATCCAGTGTACAGATACAATAAAAAATATGAAGGAAAATAAATAACGCGCGAAAACTAAAAGTACGTCTAAAACCTAAAGTGATTCTAAGTAAATAAGACAAACTTTTTGTTGTTTTTGATTTTTGATTTAAGAAAACAATGAAAATTGCCCTAAAACCTATTTAGAAAATAAAGTTAATTTTAAGAAAATAGTCTAAGTTTTTTTTTAATTATTTTTTTGTTATAAAAAGAAAATAATTTAAATATATAAATTAAACCTTATTTTATTTTATTTTAAATTAAGAAAAGGTTAAAGTTTAATTAATCAATCAATTAAAGAAATTAATTATTTAATTAAGGAAAAAATAGTCCTAAGTTTTTTTGTGATTTTTTTAATATTTGATTAATGATAAACAAAGTAAAAGAAATAAATAATAAAACAAAAATAAAGAACAACTAAATGGGCCAAAATAGAAAAATTAAGTAGGGGTGCTGATTTGAAAAAAATGCTAGGCCCAAGGGTGAGGGAACCAAGAGGCTGTATTGGGATCCAGTGAAGAGAAGTCTTGAGGGCGCATGGTGAATCTCACATTGAAGCTCTTGGATCTGACTGCATTGACATTGAAAGGTGTAGATCTGATGCTACATGGTGCACGTATATGACTTGATTGTATTGGATCTGCAAAAAGAAAATGGAAAAGGTAATCTGCAAGAGGCAGGGGGTCGAACCCCTGACCTCTCACACACATAACACCTTAACACTCACGCATTCAACCGTTGAAACGGCTTTACATCCGTTAGTATAAGCACAAAGAAATGTATATAATGTAGAACAAATGAACATGCTGATTTGGAAAACACACGCGCTCCAGTAGGGTCTCTCTATTTTGAACGGGCGAATCAAAATATAACATTTTGACGCGCAGGCTCTGGGGAGGTCAAACCATAATCCTAGCTTGAACTAAAACATCCCCATCCCTGAAAACAAAAACCTTCATGTTTAGACCCCCTAACCATGGTGATCTATGGTTCTAGCATTATTGCTCTCATGAAACACGTTATAAAATCAGCAAGCATCATTAATAACATGAATATAATCATAAGAAACATTTATATGGCATGATTTGAATGTTTGAAAGTCACGAAATTTACCAAAAAGTGAGGTTCTATGGAGCACTTTTGGGCGTAAGACAGATTGAATGGAAGGTGGTACGTGCTCCTGGGAACCCTGGGATGTTGATAGAGTGCTTGGAAAGATCTGAATCTGGCTGGATCAGAGGTTTTGATTTGGACAACTTTAAGAATTTTTCTTTTGCAATTTGGTAGTGCTTTCTCTAGGCTGTATAGGTGTGTAAGCGTGTATTTGGCTTACAAGCACGCTGCTTATATATAGTAGAAGGGAGGGGACAAGAAGACAATGGTTTAAACAACCTTGATCATGTTCTTGAAATCCATGATTGAAAATTTGTAACATTGTCCAAAAACATGGAATCTTGTCCTTTTTGAAATTTGAATGTATGTGGGTATTTTGGCTCCTTCAAATGCCTCTAATTCCTGCCCTTTGATTGGACTTCTTGTATAGCCTTCGAATGGGTCCTTAGAATGAACCATTTGTGTGCCCTTCGAATGGGCCTTTGGTTGCCCCCTCAAATGGACCATTTGTGTACCTTTCAACTGGCGCATGTTCTCATCACTAGAGCTTCTTCGTTTGAACCCCTATTCAGCTAGCCCAAACAAAAACTCTTTCTTGGCCAATTGAAGCTTCTTTTGGTATGAATGCGCTTGTGCATGTTGGTTTGAAACTGGCAGTATGTTGGCTTTTGGGCCAGCATGCCTCTTTGAATATTTTTCTTTCGTTTTGGCTAGCAATATCCTTCGTTTTGAACTAATGTGTGTGCTCTCTTAAAGGGAAACCATGCATCATTTGTATACATCACTTTCCATTCCTTCGAATGGGCCAACAAAGTAAATCCTTCGAATGGAACACCCACGTACGCCCCTTTAAATCCATCAATACATGTCTTTCGAATAGGGCAAATATATGTCTTTTGAATGGACTATGTGCTTGTCCTTTGAATGCGCGAGCACTAGGTGTCAAAATGTGGAAAACTGTGCGTTAAATGTTTTGGAGGTGGAGTCAAAGCTAGCATGAGGGGAGCCAATTGCTTGATGAATCGAAGCACATATGAAATAAAACCACTACTTTATGGGTGCTGGCATGAAGGGAATCTATTGCCTTGCGCATTGGAGGCAAGCCCAGAAGAAGTCATTTTCTTGTGGGTCGAAAGCAAACATAAAGGCAAGTTGAAGGGGCCTTGGCCTTTTGGATCTAAGGCAAGTCTGAGGCCTTTTGCCTTGTGAGTTGAAGGCATGCTGATGGGTCTTTGCCTTATGAAACCAAGGCAAGCATGAAGAGGCATACATGCGCTGGTGAAAAGCTGAGGGGCCTTTTTCCCAGTGGAAACTTTGTGAGTCGAAGGCCAGTT